CGCTTTGCCCCATTCCTGCAGCCAGTGTACCCCTCTCTCGGAAGGGGGTTCTGAGCCCCTTTCCCGCTGTTAGAAGGACCAGCGCCGGTCAGAAAGGCGGGGCCCGGGCTGAATCCTGGGGAGTGACCGTGGTGCAGAGTGGCCTGAGCCTGGGGGACACAGTCACAGGCAGGACGGGTCTGTTTGTGCTCTTGGCCTGTGTCGCAGGTTCCCTGTCAAGTGTGGTGATGTCACCCCTGAGGAGGAAAGACCTTAAATCTCCTCTACTGAGAGGCCAGCGGGTAGGTGGCGCCCCGTCTGGGTCACTAGGATCCATGGGAGGGAGTGACTGCGGGGACCCTCGCTGTCCCCTCAGGGGGGCCAAGTCGCAAGCTCATTGGAACAAGTTCTTAATAAACGCAAGAACCCCTCTGCATGCGGCCCGCTGAGTGTACTGAGTGGAGCCAGGGTGGCGGCGCTATTTCTTGTCCCTGTCCTCGTCTCCGGCCCCCCGCCGGTGGCCGGAGGGCACCTGCTAGTCCAGGGTGGGGGAGGGGGAGCCGCCCCGCAGACCATCTGCAGCCACATCTGGGCCCGGAGCACTAGAGAGCCGCGGGCCGGGTGATTAGGCGTCATCCGGTAGAAAGGAGCCACGCGGCTTCGCGCTTCCCCTAGGGTGTTAGGGGACAGCGGCCACCAGGATCAGACGCCCCCGCAATTCCTTCTGCGGTTTGAGGGCGGCAGCCACTAGGATCTGGGGCCCTATGCTTCTCTCCGCGTGTCATGGGACAGCAGCCGCTAGGTCGGGATGCCCTGTCTTGTGCACATGTCGAGGGGCTGCTGGGTCTGCTCAGGACCGGAGCGGGGGTGAGGTGGTGATGCAGGTATAGGTGAGTATGAGGATACCGCTGCAGGTGGGGGTGCGGTTTCAGGCGGGTGAGGGGGTACAGGTGCAGGTGGGTATGAAGATTCAAGAGGAGGCAGGATTCAGATGTAGGTGTTGATGGAGATGCGGGCGCAGCTGGGTATAGACATGCGGGTGCAGGTGGGATGCGGGTGCAGGTTCACCTGCAGGGCAGGTGTGAGGACGTGGAGGGCGGGGCGGGGCGGGCTTGGGGTGTGGCCTGCGGTGGGTCCTGCATTTACCTGGCACCGTCAGGCTCCAGTACAGGTAGAGAAGGTCTCGGTCCGAAGAGTCCAGAGTGGCGGGAGCCATACTCGGAGGCGCGCGGGCCAGCTGAGCGGGTAAGCGAGCGAGGCAGGTGGGGCTGCAACCCCGGCCCAGGCCCCCGAAGCTCGTGGGGCGCTGGCCCCTGAGGATTCTGGGAATCCGTGGGAGCCGTGGGCGCAGCGGGACTGGAGCGCGGCCTGGGGACGCTCGGGGACCCTTCGCGGGAACAGAGGCCCCTGGGCGCTGGAGGTCCCTGCAGAGCCGGGTTCTCGGCGGAGTGAAGGTTTTTCTGGGGGTGGCCGGAGATGGGGGATGCTTTCCTGGGGTGTCTCCCGGGGGTCGGGGAGCAGGACTTGCTCCAGAACTTCATGTCTGAGGGTTGCGGACTCCGCAGCCCCTGGAGCGCTCAGCGGACAGGCGGCTGTGCGGGACGGACGGC